CCGCCAGCCTCGCTCCCCACCTTCCCCGCTCACACAGGCACGGTGTGAAGGAGCCCCACAGCCACGGCTGGGACCGGCGGCTCTCTCGCACGCACGGTGTGAAGGAGCCCCACAGACCCGGCTGGCCCTGCAGGCTCTCGCCTCCCTCTTGTCCTGCCCTGCCTCACCCCTGCCCTGACTGGCGGGCCGTCCATGAGGGAGTTGCCCAGGGCAGAGGCTGGCCCAGGTGCCCAGCTCGGGCCGGGGGGCGGATGCCCGTGTGCCCGCTGCTCGCGGGTCAGTGACCACAAGTGCTGTTTCGCAGAGTTGCACAAGCAGGAGCTGGACAGTCTCTCTGTGCAGTGCCCGTACAGCACACTGAGGTACAGCACAGGGACAAAAGTCTGGTGTCGAAGAGAAGGTCCGACTACATGTACAATTGTGGCGAGGACAGACTACCCTTCAACACGGCGTAATGGCAAAGCTCTGGAAGGCAGAACGTTGATCCAGGACGACAGCCTGCAGAGGACTGTCACCATCACCATGCAGAAGCTGCAGGCCCAGGACACCGGCGTGTACTGGTGTGAAATCTACAGTAGCCTTGGTCTCACCCGGATGATGGAGGTCAGGCTCTCTGTGGCCAAGAGTGAGTACCTACTGGCAGCCAAGGGTGGACGTTGGCAGATTTCAGCCCCACCTCCCCTGCTTGTTCTCCCTCCCGTCCTGCGCCACACCACGGAGAAGCCCAGCGCTGCCGCCGCACAGCTGCCGCCCATCTCCCCCCGCCTGCCTGTCTCTCTGGCGGGCACGCTGGCGGCTGCCCCTTGGGCCTGTGGAGCCACAGCCTGGCCCTTCACGCTCTGTCTGCTGCCAGCAGAGACTCGGGGGAGGTTCCCATGAGCTCCCGCAAATGGGGCCGCTCTTCACAACTGCTTCCCGCAGGGCCGATCCAGGGGCTCCGGGAGCAGCTTCCCCAGCTCGGCGCTCGGCTGGCCCACGCTGGGCGCTGCTGGAGGCCTCCCCCACGGCCAGGCATTGCTCCTGCTCTGGCCCCGCAGCTGCCACCCCTCCCTGGTCCTCGCCTCCTCGATCCCTACAGGCTGAGCGCCTGTCAGCATGTGGTCCCTGGGGGAACCAAAGGAACGGGACAGGACCCCACCCAATTTGAGACTCGCCTCTGCACGAGTAATCTGGCTCCAGTCCCCTTCTGCTCCTCGTGTCTGGAGGTAGACGGACATCCAGGGAGTGTTCAGCCCACAGCCTGTATTCCAGGGATGGGGAAGGGGTGCCACTGTGCCTGCTTTGGGATCTCACCCAACATGCCGGGTGTTTTCCAGGGACCCAACAGTACACAGCCAAGGAGTCAGGCAATGTCTCTGTCCAGTGTCTGTACAGCGTCTCAGACTATGGGGCTGCGACCAAAGCCTGGTGCAAAGAGGGACTTGCGAAAGCATGTACCGTACTGGTCCACACGAATTGGAAACGCTCAGGGTACCTCAGGACAGCTCAGCAAGGCCGAGTCACGATCCAGGACAACACCCAGCACGGGATTGTCACCATCACCATGGAGAAGCTGGAGGCACAGGACGCCGGTGTGTACTGGTGTGCGCTTTATGAACAGTCTCATCTTTTCCGAATGGCGGAGGTTACGCTCAGTATTTCCGAGGGTGAGTACTGACCTGTAGGAGTGAATATCTACAATGAAAAAAATGATATATACATCTGCTTGTTATAGGAAGTAGTCTCATAGTTATTCGAGGTCATTTGCCACAGAAAATAGCAGAATACTAGAAAAAAGGAAATCAGCTGTAACTGATTCTGTTATTTTTCTTCAGACAGGCATAACAAAACAACAGCACTATAACTTGTGGTGTAATCAGAGAAAGTGGAATCATTTTCACACAACAATAATAGAGGCAATGCTCTAGCACAGCCTCAAAAGTATTCAAACAATGGTGTGGGGAAATACAAATAGTGAAGTCACACACAGCGATTGTAGTTATACATTGCTTCTAAGTATTTTGAATTTCACTCTATATGCGTAGTTTAGAAGAGTACAGAGTATAAAGTAATGCAAACATCTTAAACAATATAAAAGTACTAATGGTGGACCTGCTGAAGTGATTGGACAGTATCAAATCCATATGGTCATCGCCTTGTAAAGATTTCTGCTTCCTAGATGTTTTTGCTTGCTTTTACGTTAGTGGGATCCAGGTCTATTTGATTCATACTAAAAACCGGTAGCAAAAATACCTCCCCATTTCCACCTCGTAGGGAAACATGGTTGGTTGTAGATTCCAGACTCTCTTTCCTACTCCCTCCCCCTAGTCTCTGCACTGCCCAGCTTACACCACCTCCCACGTCACATCCGCATGCGTTTGCCGGCCCAAACCCTACAGCATTGTACCTTCTCACACCACCCATGCTATGGAATGGCAACAGGGATCAGAACCGAACCACACGCATGGGCTGTATCGCTTCTCCTTCACCTGAGAGCAGCCTCAGTGGTTTTCACAGAGGTGCTTCTGTCAGTCGTTCTCATGGTAGCAGTTCTGCCCCTTTATAGCAACTCATCCCTTGGCTTTCAAAGACTGTTAAGACCTTCCCACTTGGTTGCTGAGAGGACAACCTTTAGACCCGGATTTTAAAGATCTGTGACTTGTAGGCTTTCCTCCAGCATGATGTTTTAACCCTAAGTGCTAACGCTTAGGCACCGGATTGTGGCAGACCGGCAGCGCGCTGCCGTCTGTCTGGAATTTGGCAGAGCAGCTCTGAAGGGATACGGCAATGCAGACGACAAGAGGGGACGGCATAATTCTCCAGGCGAAACTGCTAACACGGGGGACCGAATGCAGTCTCTAAGCAAGCGGGTTCCTGCACACACAACCTCCCCTGGGCACAGAAACAGTCCTGGAAGCAATTGTTACAGCCGAGTCCTTCGCAGACCATGCTCTCTGCTTAGTTTTCACAAGCCTCTGCCTGCTTCAGCACAGAGCGGTTAAGTACTTCATTGCTACCTGAAGACCTTTGCCATAGAGCACGTCTGCTCGCACCTATAGCACTTCCTTCTGCCGTGCCTTGGGGGGGGTACACGCAGAGCAGAGCAGAGCGGGGCTGAGCTGAGCTCCTGGCGCCTGCCTCCCACGTTCTGACCCTTACGTTGCTTCGCCTGCTGCCAGCAACTCTTGATGACACAGCTTACAGCCCGGGCGCTTGTCTGTGCTGCGTGTCACAGCGGGAGTGGGTTTACGGCCATGTAGCAACGGCAGGGAAATCTAGGTGGTAAATGCAAAGCATCCCAGTTGTGATCATTCTTCTCTTCGTGTTTGGGATTGCAGTATCGGGTGGAACAACTTTGCCAGGTACTGCAGGCACAAGTCAATCAACCCCTTTTGGCAACACCCCAGCACTGAGGTAAGGCCTCGAGAAAGTCTCTGAGCTTGAACACAGACAGGAGTTCTCAATGTCTCGTATTGTTTCCCCTGTACTTAAAATCACTCCAGTCGTGTCTGTAGAGACATTACTGTCAATACACCACCTCGGCAGCTCGACCCTTGACTGGCCGTTCTGTTTTGCTTTGTCTCCTGTCACTGACAAAGGTCAATCCTTTCTCTGAATGTATTTTACTTGCAGGTGAAACACCAAATATCTTTTCTTCCACTTCTCCAATGATTCCCTCTAACTCCACTGAAACAACTACCAATAACGAGGAAGAAATAAAACAAACCAGTTGAGCTGTCCCTTGCTGCCAGCTGAAAGGGGCAGCACAGGCCCGTCTGAACACTAGAGGGTAGAAAAGGGCAGGGTCTCTTTTCTCTTTC